CGTTCAGGGTCCGGCCCGATCCTGTGGTAGTGATTAGGCTGGCCCGGCAGAACCACCCGGACTAGGTGAGACCTGTCGTAAAGAGGGAGCGATAAGGTTCCTTAAAATGACAGTTGACAAGCCGGCCTCTGCAGCCCACTGAGCCACAAGACTCATGCATGCAGAGGCTTGAAGGAGGCGTCCCCCGTGCTTCGGGCAAAACCTTACCAGGGCTTTCCCAATTCCCTGACCTTAATGCCCTAGCTCCTAGCTGTGTGGCAAAAGAGGCTTCATGGGAGGGGGGAAGGGGCCCTGGGTGCTGTTTTGCAAACGGTGGCTTTTAGCTATTCGCCCACCCCCATTTGTCTCAGATTTAGGCAACAATCTCTGTTTATGTTTCTAAGCAACCGCTACAAGCCTCCCTAGGTCAGGCACAGATGGGCCAAAGTAACAGCCATGGAGGACCCAGCTCAGATAGCCCACCAGGCAGGGGACTGATCCCAGCTCTGTCAGGAGGACGAAGGGCAACTGGGGCGTTCACGCTGCTGGTGGTGCGTTTGCTGCAGGGGAGGCCCGGATCCCAAGCCCTTTGAAGCTAAGGGAGAGACCCCCACTGGCTTCAATGGGCTTTGCTTCAAAAATAAAGCACCAGAAAGTAGCAGTTCGGAAGCAGGCAGTAAAGACGCAGAGCAAAACTCCCAAACAAACTGCTCCGTCTTGGAAAAAGGGAAATGGACTCTCAGGGATGCCCGGCCTCTGAGTTTGGGAACGGAGAGGAGATTCTGGTGTTTAGCTTGGAAACATTCCCCTCCCCGCCCCCCAACACGTGTATCCTCCACACTAATGCAAATACAACAACCTGATAAATCTGGGGGGCGAGATGCAGCTTTTATGCAAGAGAGGAGGCCCATTACAGGATCGGGACCTCCTGTCCCCTCCCGGTAATTCCTCCCCTGCCCCATCCCTCCCCTTGGAGGGCTATCTGGCCTGTGGGCTTCCCTTAAATGTATTTACCCTGCCTGGGCATCACAGTGGCCTTTAATACTTGACTGATCCCCATATGGGCAGTAATAGTTGGTGATTTGTAGTAGTTTGCATGTGTCTCTGGCTTCATCCAATCCATGTTATTTCCATATTCAAAATGCTCTGAACCGCACATACACAAGCAACATATCCCCCAAATAAAATATGGCCCGTAAGAAAGGGAGTACATTATACAAATGAACCAGTATGTTTTACAGACCAATAATTTACATGCCTGTGTCAAAGATACCCATAATCCAATCCTTCACATGCAGCCCGGCCTGGGAGGCATGAGAAGAATTCTGATGCCGTTGGACTCCTGAGCATTAAGGTGTTATTCACAAACCTTGCAGTCCAGACACCGAGCCAACACGCTTCCTATACCCAGCTAGCCATTTCACACAGGGCATTGCCAGGTAATAGGTACATGGACCACAACAGGCTGGATTTTCTCGTTTAAGAGGTCTTTGGCTCACACAGGATCACATGAATGCAGGAATGATTTAAAGGGTTTTAATTTTCTGAGCTCCCTGGTACAGTGTGTGCGAGGGGGGCGTGCGGGGGGCAAGTGGAAATCACAAAACGGCAGAGTGAAACCTGCCTCAAAATACCACTCCCAGAAGCCACAACGCTCAGTTGCTTAAGTGGTGTGCAGCATAGTCCGCCATAGTTACTAGGGGGTGTGAAGGGAAGGGATAGCCCAATAGGGCCTTGCCTTGTACTGTACAGGTGTAACTGTAACTTGAGTTATCGACGTGCCATTTCTTAAATCGACTTGCAGGGTTTCCACCCACAGCTCCGCAGAAATAAACCCAGTGCATGGGGAATCTCCACGGACATCAACAAATCCTTGAACACAGGAGATCTACCCAAACTGGATCTCAGTGGCTGGCAATTTCCAATAGCTATGTACACCACCACCATTAATGGGATGGATACAATTAATTAGCTTGGCGGGGTGGGGGGAGTTTGGGATTGGGGTGGTTATACTGACATTTTTCGTCAGTCACTGTTCCCAGTACTCTGCACACACACATTGATCTGCACGTCTGGTTACTAGATAGTGTTCAGACTGCATCACACCCAGGGAAAAGAGAGAGAGAAGTCAGCTCTATAACAATTGCTTATACAATTTTATTTTACTTTTAAAGTAGCTACTTCATTTGCCCAGTACCCTGCTCCCTGGGAAGTGCATGGGGATGGGAAAAACATCTCTCTCAGGACAAAAATCTGAATTTCCTGGTAAAGGACGTTGTCCTTGTTAGGAGTATTAAACGGAGGAGGAGCGAAAGCTAGAGACACGGGCAGGATCTGTTCGGTCATGTAGACCATCTCCCTGCCAGTGCAAAACTGTTCCCTGTGGACACTTGTTAGTGTTTTGATTTAAATAAGCGATGATGACACTTCCCTGGAGAGGTCATTCTGAAGCAGCCTGCGGGGGAGAGTTCGATGTATGATAATGTGAATACAACCTGATGTATTTTTAAAATGCTTCATACCTGCATGGGTTGACATTAAGTGGCTTTGGGGCTATCCTGGCCTTCCTACGATCTCTGGTATCAGGTGCTTTCGGATCTGAAAAAAAAAAACCCTAACAGGTGAAGCAAATATTTAATAAATACCTGTCCCTTGGAAACAGAGTAATTTCACAATCCCGAGCTGCAATTATATGGAAATTAAGTCCTGTGTAGGTACAAAGTCAGACATATTATCACCAGCTCTTGCAAACGCTTTTGAAGGGAGAATGTGTTTACTTTGTGACTCTTTCTTGTAACGGCCTGACCTTCTGTTCACATTCCCATTTGCGTTCTGCTTCTTTTCTCTCCTAACCCCCTTCTAGAGCGTCAGGAAATTCTTACTTTGCAAAAGACTGGAAACCTGCCTCCCTCTTGCTTTTCCTTTTATATTTCGGTGTATTTGTGTAAGATAAGTAGGTCTAATAACACTATTGACAAAACCGAATTTTGGTGGCAGGCTTGACTTCCTGACTTACAGATGTTTATTCTTTCCAACTCGTTAAAAATCTGTTGGCAGCGCATATACTGTAAATATTTGAAGTGTCCAGGAATGATAGAAAACTGGAGTTTAATACACTGCATACCACAGCTTGGACTTTCGATAGAGGCAACCATATGTGTAGGGCGTTAAGGTGGAGAACTGAGTCCCCATTGCTGGGTATTAGCCAAGCTGCAATAATTAACACTGTGGTTTTCTTGGTCTATGTGAAACAATATTTTTCATTCCGATTAAAAAAAACAGTGCTGACGTGTCTCACCCAGGCACAAAGAATTGGAGAGTTCCCCCTTCTCCCCTTTTGTATTTTTATTTTACATGGTCTTTTATTGTAAGGCAAGTTGCCAAATGAATAGTGTGGAAGGCAAAAGCTGTGGTCTGTGTAGGCATACGGGGTGTATAAAACATTGTTGCCTTCTCATTGGCACATTGTGTGACCGCTGATTTGTCACTTAATAATAGAAAATCACTATAAAATATCGTGCTTTTATTTAAGCGGCAGCTGGTGCCTTCTTCTCTGAAAGTACGTAGCAATTGCTATTAATTTTGCAAATGTGATCGCCAAAGCGATGCCATTTAACAAGGCTTAGAAAAAGCCTTGCCTGTTATATTATCACTGGCTAGTCGTGTTGTAATTATACATATACACAGTGTTGTAAGCATACCGGGAATAGAGTAAGGCTCTTGGCGGAGCTGAATTTTTGTGGCATAACTGTGAAAATAAAAATGCACTGTTCACCGGTGAGCTGATGATACAGGTCAGACATCTGCGTGAAAAGCCTGGGGTCAGGAGCAAACGCAGGTTTATTATGTTTGTTGTTATTTAAAGACTTGAAATAAATTTCATCCAGGTCCTGTTTTGTGGTCACCAAATTGATACATTAGGTTAGAAACTGAGTATAGATGCGGATCACATCTGGAAAGACATATCAGATCAATCCATATCCAGCTAGAGATAGATATTATTCAACCTGTCATTCCAGATGTGTTCTGTAGACTATGGATACACCCTATGTAAGTGTCTGAGAACATATTTCATCTTATTTTTCCGTGCCCGGGCCTTTCATCACAACAAAATGACTACAGGCCGCTTAGTGGGGGATAGATTCCTTAAACCACCCAAACGAACCAAACGAACATCTCACTTAAATCTTACACATTTTACACTTCAGTCTTACAACGATTAAGGTAACATCACGTTCACTGCAGAACGGGCTAAACAGACACAAGTGGAAAGAATCCTTCCAACTGTACATTGTGCCGCTGTCCAGATGCTCGCTCGCACACACAAACACACACACGCACACACATATTTGCTGTGGCCCCAGACTCTTCGTACCAGGGTATGAATGTGGAACGACTAACGCATCATTGCTGATGATGTTCAAGCAGAATATGTTTGCCTTGCGATTAGTGCACATTCTTCCTGGCTGAATTTTATCTTCAGTCTTTCAAAACCTGGCACAACCGAGGCATTTATTTTTGGTTTTGTTTTTTTGTGGGTCGGGGGAGGTAAATACAGAAGCTTCTCAAGTCACTTTCCTTCCTCTGTGTTGGTCATCACACACCCACACCCACCCAGCCCTTTCCCTTCAACCTGCTCCAGAGGGCAAAGAAATGAAGTGGGCAGGCCCCGTTCCCGACGCGTTGACAGGTGTGCTGCAGGGCCAATCGCGGCTGCCGAACCCTAGTGCCGGCCACCAATAGTATTTCCTCCAGCCTCGGGGCCAATGGGAGCCGGATCTGAGCCTTCAAGTGAGTAGAGTTTGGAGCTGAGGTGCTTACTATCTGCCGAGAGACATTTTGCTGTGCTTGGCCTGGGGGGCTGGTCCTCCGGTCTCGGCAGAGCCCCGGCGCTGGGAGTGGGAGTGGGAGTGGGAGGGGGGCGCAGACGCTCCACGGGGCGCTGTGGGGTCGGGCGGGGGCTGTTTGTTAGGCTTATTTTATAGACGAAGGGAGGTGTTTTTTTTTTTAGAAACAATCCAATGGAAAAATCCAAAAATTTCCGGATCGATGCTCTCCTAGCAGTCGACCCTCCCAAAGCCGCCGCCGCCGCCTCCGCGCAGACCTCACCGCTGGCCTTGGTCACCTCCCTCGCCAACACATCTGGCCACAGCAGCAGCAGCAGTAACAGCAGCAGCTGCAGCCCCCCGTCCTCCTCCGAGCGCCACAGCGGCGGCTCCTCGGACTGCCTGCGGACCGAGAGCCCTTCGCCGCCGCGGATCCTCGCCGCGCATTGCGGGCTGGTGCCCAAGCCCGGCTTCCTGACCAGCAGCGCCAGCAGCCATCACCACCACCACCACTCCGCCGGGGGCATGGCCCTGGGACTGCACCAGGGGGGAGCGGGCATCCCCACCCAGGCCGCCCTCTACGGGCACCCCATGTACAGCTATTCGGCAGCCGCTCTGGCCGGGCAGCACCCCGCTTTGTCTTACTCCTACTCCCAGGTGCAAGGGGCTCACCCTTCTCACCCTGCCGCAGACCCCATCAAACTCAGTGCCGGGACTTTTCAGCTGGATCAGTGGTTACGAGCATCCACAGCGGGCATGATCCTCCCGAAAATGCCGGACTTTAACTGTGAGTATCTCCTGGCCAAGCCCCCGTCTTGGGGGCGCTGGGTTTGTTACGATCTGTCATTTTCCTTTGCGCGTATCCTCGCCGCTTCCCCACCTGCCCCTCAGCATTGCCCGAGCCAGGCTGTAGCGGTCCAGGGGTCTACGGCAAGGGTACGCTGATTCTCCCAGTCTTTCCTCGTTGTTAATGTCCCACGCCATTCAGCTAGCGCCTGACAGGATTCGGTCAAGACTTCAGCCGGCGGCGTGTGTAATAATATATACGTTTTATTTGGTAATATTAGCACGGGGGCGGAAATCGCGATTAACAATGGGAAGCTGGAATGTGTTGCAGCTCATTGTGGCCAGCACTTTAGCAGTAAGTAATAGACTGATCTTTCTTGGGAAGTGAAATGTAAAGGTGACAAATCATTCATTGCGTTCTAAGTTCTAATTCACACTGTTCCGTGGGGGGAGTCGTGCTAAATAATGAATGAGAACCAAATACCGGTGTATATGAAAATCTATAAAAACTGACGGTAATTTTTTTGTTTGCTTATTTTTCTTCTGGATGGCAGAGCGATCCTGCTGATATTTGTTAATATTACGGTATAAAGAGTATGAGGTACAACTTTACAGGGCTCTGTCAATTTCACGCAGAATGATGCTTAGTCAGATCCTGTCATCCAGGCAAATTTCACAGATCTCTTCCTCAGGAAAGAGTTGATGGTAATCAGAGCACACTCCTCCCTTGGATGGTTCCAGTGAACATTCTTTGCTATAATTAAATGTTTATTTGGTGTCATTGAAATAAGGCAGCTAAATAATTGCAATCACCTATATTTGAGCATTTTAAAAAACCGCTTTAAATAGCAGAAACACTGACCTGTCCTAACAGCAGTTGGGCCGCTAGGCCTCAATGGAGATGGGGACATTTCTTGCATCTTTGTATTAGGCAAAGATCATTTTCTTAGGTGTTAGTGCTCTGTGGGAATTACTGGCTTAACAATACGTTAGGTGTAGTTTTACTTAAATCATGCCAGAAAAGAATTAGGAGTTTGGGTTTTTTTTCATACACTCCACACACATACAGACAAAAAAGTCCATTGTTTTCTCTTAAATAGGTTTGTTTAGACTAGGACATTCAAGAAGAAAAATAATTAGAAAAGCTGTCCGAATTCTTGCCCTTTCAAACAAAACGCACTAGTGAATAAATAGCCAAGAGAAAAGATAATAGAGGCCTGGAAAATCACACAGTAGTGAGAAAATCTCATCTGTGTTACTGTTTGTATGCCGGACACTGTCTTTTTTATTCAGGTCATTTTAGCAGGTTTGCTCCAAATGAGGTAGTAAAGGCAGGCTCCTCCTCCCCTCTCTTTTACAGGCTTTTTAGTTTCTAAAGCAAACAACAACAACAACAAAGATGAGAGAATGTCCAAGAAATCACAAATCGTATGTTATAATCACATTCAAAATGATTGTGTTGCCTCTTAGAAGGAGCATATATATCATCTGCAGCTACGGAGTCTGAATTGGTTGTTTAAGAAGGATTTCAGCATGCTTCCAAATTGATGTTCTCATTTATGTGTCCATTAAATATGACGGCAATATTTTAGGAGAACAATCTCCCCATCAGTTCTCTTTACTTGTAACTCTCAACCGAGTAATTTTTGACGCAGTCCTGATCTTTGAATCCAGAAAACGTGCGGAGATTATAACATCGAATTTTATAGTTCAAAAACATTGTTGAAAATGGATATTTCCTATATATAGTTACCTCGCGCGAATACGGAACAGTATTTCACGTCATGTTTCATGTCACATTTGTCTCCCATTGTCTGCAAACATAATAGACTTGCCAGCGGAGATAATGAAATAAAATAGATACAAACAAATGGAACTGATTGGAGAGAAACCTTTTTCTCTAATCTGCCGGGGGGCGGGGGAGGGGGCATTGCTTTGGCCAAGCTTCCCACTGCACATTTCCCCAAAGTCACTTTGGAGTCTGTTTTAATTAAAGTTCTAATGTATGGTCAAGCTGGGAATTCGGGAGACCTGTTTAACTAAAGCAGGGGGCGTTAAAGTGAAATGAAGCAAATTGCTGGTCCCCTGAGAGACTGATATCATTTCACCGTGGTCCCGGGTTCCTTTTATTGTCTAGCACTTGTCAGGCTCTTGGGAAATCAAGAAGTCCCTCTTTGGCCATAAATTTCCCTGTGGTGAATCTATGTGAAATTATGTAAATAGAGACGTCCATCTCCTATTGCCATCAGGCGAGTCTTGAGGTGTCTAATTTAGGGAACGAGAATGTTTACTTTAAAGTGCCTTTAATGGTGCAATAGTAACAATGTGAGGACGGGAGGGTTTCCTTAAACCAGGTGAGCGGTCCGAGGGGCCGATCCAGCAGCTCTTTCCAAACAGCGGCCCAAGGACTGCACTATTATCAGATCACTCTACTCCACTGCAGAAAAATTCCCCAGGATGTTACTCCGAGGTGCCAGTACATTTGCCTTCGTTGTGAGGGCGGGCCCGACGGAGACTTGTCCCCGAGCACGGCCGGCTGGGGGCTGTGTGTGTGATAGATACCGGTCTGAAGCCAGGAGTGCGGAGATGCGGTACTAATTGGAAGTGGTCACCGTTTGGGTAGTTTTTCATTGTGGCATGTAGAAAGGTCACCACTGGGGTTAGCTAGCGGAAGAATGCATGCGGCGGGGAGCTTTTAATCACTTGTTCCTCTTCCCTTGTCTCCATTTTTTTAAATAGGAATTTCGCACTGATGTATTTTTTCTAACCCCTCGCCCCCAGGCTGCCTCCCCTCTTCTCTCCCTCGCAGGGGACCAGCAGTTCTCTTCCTTTCCCAGCCCTTTCCCATTGGATCTAACTTGCCCCCCATGGGGGCAGGTGGACGCAGCCAGGGACACGAGAACGATCCTCTTTAATGCTGACGGGAGCTGGGCCCCGGCCGTCTCAGCTCCGGCCCGTGAGAGCCGGCTGCCTTGGGAGGGTGGCGGGGCTCAGGCTGCTCCCCTCCGGCTGCCCGCGTTGTGCTGATGCGCCGTTTTGTCTCCAGCCCAGGCGCAGTCCAACCTGCTGGGGAAGTGCCGGCGGCCCCGCACCGCCTTCACCAGCCAGCAGCTGCTGGAGCTGGAGCATCAGTTCAAACTGAACAAATACCTCTCCAGGCCCAAACGCTTCGAGGTGGCCACGTCCCTCATGCTCACGGAGACCCAGGTGGGTGGCGGCTGCAGCGGCCCCTCCGGGCTCCGGGGAAGGGGCCCGGCGCTTAGAACCAGCGGCCCGGGGCTCTGCGGGCTCAGGAAAGCAGGCTCGCTCCGCGCAGCCCCAGCCCGCCCCGGGCCACCAGGGTGGGCTTCCCAGCTCCCTCCCGGCGGCCGCAAAGCCTGCCCCCTCCCGGGCTCCCCCCGTGGCCGCAAAGCCTGCCCCCATGGCCCCTGGGCTCTGCCTGGCGACCCTCGGCGCGAGGAGGCTGCGGGCCGCTCGGCGTGTTTCCAGCCAGGGCCAGCTGCACCGGGGGTTGGCAGCCCCGTGTTACCCCGGAGCGGTGGGGTCCCTTCTAACCAGGCCAGTGGGGGGTGGGGGCTGGCTGGGGGCAGCGGGGGCTGCAGGCAGGAGGGGTGGCCTCGGTACGGCAGAGGTGTTGGGCAGCAGGTCCGGGGGCAGAGACGTGTGTGTGTGTGTGCGGAGTGGGGGGGGGGGTGCAGCGTGAGGCTGGTGTGTGTGTGTGTGTGTGTGTCCCTGGGCCTGCGATCCCCCCTCAGCCCCTCTCTCGCTCCGCAGGTGAAAATCTGGTTCCAGAACCGGCGCATGAAGTGGAAGCGGAGTAAAAAGGCCAAGGAGCAGGCGGCGCAGGAGGCCGAGAAGCAGAAGAGCGGGCTGGGCGGGGAGGACAAGGCGGACCAGGAGCTGCTGCTGCCGGCCCCGGAGAAGAGCAGCGGCCGCCGCCTGCGGGAGCTCAGGGACAGCGACCCAGAGGAGGAGGAAGCCGGACACTGCTGCCCCTACAACTCCTCCGACTGCTCCGAGGGTGACGAGGAGGAGACACAGCCCCGCAGCAGGCACGCCTCCCCGCTGCAGCCGCCCCCCGGCCAGCCCCAGTGAGCCAGCAGGCGGGCTCCCCTTCTCCTGCTGCTGCTATCCGGTCCCAGACCTTTTAGCCCTACACCAGCCTGCCCACCCCCACCCCAGCAACCCCAGACAGATCACTCTGCCCACCCCAGCCACCAGACTCCTCTGCCCACCCCTACCCCAGCCACCTCCAGACAGACCCCTCTGCCCACCCCAACCACCTCCAGACAAAGCCCTCTGCTCACCACTATCCCAGCCACCTCCAGACAGAGCCCTCTGCCCACCCCTATCCCAGCCACCTCCAGACAAACCCTTCTGTCCACCCCTACCCCAACACCTCCAGACAGACCCCTCTGCCCATCCCTACCCCAGCCACCTTCCAGACAGACCCCTCTGCTCACCCCCACCCCAGCCACCTCCAGACAGACCCCTCTACCTCAGACACCTCCTGACAGCCCCCTCTGCCCACCCCTGCCCCAGCCACCTCCAGACAAACACACACTTCTCTGCCCACCCCCGCCCCAAACACCTCACACACCTCTACCCACCCCATCCTACCCTTCCCCAGACTGCTCACCTTTCCTCTCGACGACTCCTCCCCTCTTTTCTCCACCATCCCCTACTCCCCTCCTAGTGACACACATCTGCCCACTGCCCCATGCCACCATCAACAACACGTACTCCTCTGCCCCGACCCTACACATCTGCTTTTCCTCCATCTCTGCAGCCTTTGGTGTCAGTGAAATGAGTCCCAAATGCAGCCATCTTCCTGCACTGGAGAAGGAACAGCTAATCTTATACCAGTACCTTTTATTCCTACATGGGAAGTATTCGGTCTTCAGCTGCGCACAAGCCCAGATCCATCATTGCTCTTTGGTGTCAGCATTTCAGCTGTCATGTAACAAACAAACAAACAGAGAAACCAAGCAGGTAATATTAGAGGTGAGCAGCTTTTGGTAAGGTTTGGATTTTTTTTTTTGAGGTACATTGACAAAAGGATTCTTCTTCCTACACATGGTAGAGAAGATTTACAGTTCACCACAGTGTTAAGAGACATTTTAAAAACTTGAACCTTACCCATGGAAACCCTATTCTTTTGCTGAGTATTGGAAATGTTTTGTGCTTATTATATATCTGGAAACCTGTTTGCCATGAACGTTAAAACTGCTGGAAATCTCAAGACTGGACTGTCTTTATTTTTGTATATTGTATTTATAAAAAGGGGCACCTCTACTTATGCATGCTAAATTATTATTCAGCTTCTCCATCGGCCATGATGGTATGTAAAATAAACATTTTGTACTTGAGCCTTATGTACAATTTTTTTTTTGTAAAGGAATAGGACTGGCTCCCAGGGTCTGGAGTTTATAACGCGCCCGGAATCATATAATCTGTCACTTTATTGTACACGTTAATATGCATATTTCATGGAAAAAACTGGAACGAAAGGACGTCTCTGAATCCATACACTACCTGATAGGGGCTGGAGGAAGGACCCCAGATGTATAGTTAAATAAATCCACTAGACGTTGTACAATTTCCCATGAAAGAGGCTTTTGCCAGATTGTTTTCCGAACTAAATTTAATTCGATCTAAATACTCTAACATTCTACTAAATCAACAGTTCTCAGAACATCGAGTGGTTTCCTCATACTTACACCTAAAAATACACTTATGAGGACAACTTTTATTGAAAAAATATCTATTTTCTTCCTCGTTTTTGCCTGTTGGGCCAGATTCAGATCTCGGTGTAAATCTGCGATAATTCCATTAAGGTCTGGACTGGATACTGGATTTACAGAAACCGTTCCAGTTTGTTTTTTTATTAAGCAGACAATAAGAGGAGAGGGATTCATGCAAGGGGACTGCTGCTGTGTTTTAAATAGAGTGGCTTTCTGATCTCTCCCTAGCTGCATTGTGAATCCAACTCTGTTTCTGATTGCTTGATGCTAAATACTCTTCCCTTTTGACTTTGATTCCTCCCTGCCATGCAATTCAGCCGACTTGGCCCGGCCCTACGGCCAGCTGGTAATGGCTCTCTCGGATCTGTGCAAATGTACAGCCGAGCAAACATTAGAAGAGAGTCAAACTGCGGAAACATTTCACAGGAGAGCTGCAGTGGCTGTGGATTAATAAACCTCTGCAATGTGGCTCATCAATCAGCAAGCTGCAGAAGCTGTGAGCATGTGCCCTACACATGGAGGAAGGAATCCTAAGGGCTGGGGACAGAGAGGACCGAGCAATCTTCTGCATATCCGGGGTAGCTTTTCACCCAAGCGTGCTTAGCAGGAGACATGCACCCTCCGGAGCAAATCTGCAGCGCAGGATCCTTGCTAGACTAAACTGGGGGATTTATGCACCTACTGCTCAACGCAGCTATTGCATATTTTAAAAACGGGCACACAGGCAGGGCTGACAAACGTGCTGAACGAAACCTGCTGTTTTCATGGTCGCTTTTAAAACTTATTCTCTCTGCGACATGCATCATTTATGTGAATGGACGAAAGAGGCGAAATCTTCATTCCTTCAATGGAAACACTATTTATACTGGATAGTTAACTTTATTATACACCCCTGCATTATAAGCACGGTTTATATTGAGGAAATAAGGATGTTCACATAGACTTTAAAATGATAAATATTGACTATCGGGTGAGATGGAGAACAACCTTCCTTCGATCAACAGCTGACTATAATTTTGCTATGAAGCCATTTTGCTTTATCTTACCCTTCCCTCCCTTCACTATTTTAAATGCACACATCTAACCCAAATCCGGGCCCATATCTTATTTGCTCCATCCCATACCCAGCACATATAAATCAGCGCCGAATGACTCTCCTTCCCGGTATATTGCCACGTACAGTACAACACCAAGGCGTGGGAACGATAGCGAAAAGACGGAGATGCGGCCCTGCAGCGAGCCGGATTGAAGTACCAATTCCATTGTGAACTGCCCCCAGTTAAAAGGAAGCAATTGGGTTATTAGTGTTCAAGTGGGAAAAATTAAAACCCAACCGTCTGAAAGCCCCGGCGCAGGAAATTAGAAAGCGGTGCTAATTTACAGGCATTGTCTTAATTCAAGGACTAACAATGTGGAAAGTTGTTGTTAGCCCCGGCAAGCAAAGTGGAAAGGAATAAAATGACCGGCCGAAACAGCCCTTTCAAGAGATTTCATTATGAAACTCATTCCCACTAAATTGTCTTTAACTATTGAATAATGAAAAAGGTAGAACGTTATTTGCTATTTAAGCTTCCCACTTAGAGCCCGCCTGTTAGAATAGTGCTGCGTTTGGGAGCCTCCGGGCAGATTTCTGGTGGAGTCAGCATAACTGTCCTCATTCACACTCCTTAATAGCGGCGGAATTTATCTCTCTCATAAATTTAATGATCAATTCGTTCTTGTCACCGCAGCTCTTCCCCAAATCAATTATAGCAAATTTAAATATAATCACTGGCTCATCCTAACTAACTCGGGGCCACATCTAACAATTCATTCCCACTAATGAATTACTGTGCGTCTCTTCCCTGTTTTTAGTCTGATACCATCCTCCACGGGCAGCTTAGAGACGCAAAAAGAATATTAGCACCTGAGCACGAGGGGTAGCGACCAGCGGATTACAGGAAGGTAACTAACTACCCTAGACTAGATTCTACATTTCCCATTAGGCCGAATCCTGCTCTCCGTCACCCTGCTTTACATCTGGAGTAACTCTGCCGAATTCAGTAGAGTAACTCCGAATTTTTACATTAGGGTAACGAAGAAGAGAATATGTCTAGGGAAGTTTTGTTTACCCAGGATCAGAGTAGAGTAAAAGTAGTTTTATGGATCCTGCTTGCTTTTCTCCCCATAGGACCCCGATTGTGGTCTCGTTTACACTGGTGTAACTCCACTGATTTTAATGTAGTTACTCCCGGTTTACACAGCTCAGAATCAAGCCCCGTGATTTCAGTAAGGTAAGGAGGACTGGCTCACCAGGTCTTTGTTCTTTCTGTTCAACACCTTCCCCCCCCACCTTTCCCCAGGAATGGAAAAGACAAAACAGGTCGTCTGAGCAGCATTCATCCTATCATCTGGTGCCAGCAAACCCTGCTCAGGCGCACAGCCCCTCCAGCCTGAGGTTGCAGACAGAACTGCTCAGCAAACATGACATCTTGGCGATCTTGCTATTTTTTGCTTCTTACCCAGAGACTCGCACCATCGTAGAGTTTTTAACTGTATCTGAATATGTAAATTCGGTCACAAAATTATTACTCTCAAGTATATCCCAGGTTGCACGGAAGAATAATAGCCTATAAAATATGGAGTGTCCCCACTCCCGTACACCTTTTTAAAAGTGATTTTTTTACAAACCCGTGTTAACCTTTCAAATGAAAACAATATGGCCCATATAAATTACTTCTATAAAGATTTGGCCATACAAGGCGTGTGAAATACAGTCTGATGCATGGATGACGTTGTTACTAATGATAATAAGAAAAACAGTTTTAGGTCACCGAGCTCTTCAGGTGTTGCTAAGTCGAAATATAATCTATAAAGCATATCGTTTATGTATTAGCTGGGCACTCCAGCACCCTCGCTGCATTGGAGGGATATTAAATAAGTATTACACTCTGCCATATACATAGCTCAATAAAATAGAAATCTGTTCAATGCACAACCTCCTTCCATACAAATATGGAAGTATTTTAATGGGTTCCAGAATATAGAATATGACTCCAGTTTGCACACGTATTTTATAGCATTCTCTATGCTCCAGGCAGTGGGATTTACAGAATTTATAGACACACTGGATTTAGGAATATATTTCTTAATTTTATATACTCACCATATCAATATTTGTGTGTGCGTATGTATATGTGTGTGTGTCTGATTTTTACACTCCAGGAAGTCTATGAGGGTAGTCAAGACATAAATTAGCAGTAGAATTTGTCTTTATGTTTATAGATAAAAACCCAAACAAATACAAACTTTTCCAAAACACACATAACAGAATAATTCCAAAGAACGAACAACCGATGAGTTGCGAGTTTAGCATATGAAAGTTTCCATCCCCATGACATTAATTTATAGTTAAATACGTGATAATTAAACAGGAAAATAAAACTGATTGAGGCAGAAA